TGAGCGACGCGCCATCATACGACTCATTGACTCTATCTCAGAGAGCTTAAGGTCATCAGGCAGTATGGTCGGTTGTCGCTATCACACTTGGCGGGTGCTACTAACCACTATGCTGACTCAGCCAGCCGGTTGTTGGACCGGCCTGTCAAGACGGGCACGACAACCACTAGATTGGGTGAGCTTTTGGCTGCCTATAAGAAGTCTGATAACCTCAAGCCATCACAGTTGATGGGGTCCGACGAAGGCGAGTGCGCCGGAGAGCATTGCTGCTGGGCGGGGTCTATCTCTCACGATGAAATACGGCTCATGGTCAACGCCGCGTCTGCACCAGCTATGTCCCTTCGAGAGGATCTCCCAAGCATCTCCCACGAAGACCTGGAAGAGCAAGAGAGGGACTTAGAAGGTGACTTTGACTCCTGCTGCTGTCTGATAGAAGATGATGACCCTACCGGAGGTATAGCAGCTTATGATCGACAACCATTCTCTATGATAGCGTCTATAACCTCCGGCTCAGCTGACTTTTGTGAGGATGTTTGTCGTGCCGTTGATTGCGTCCTTGCAATCCGTGATGATCTCGGGCAGAACCCCCCAGCGCCTCACCCAACGGCAGAGCCATTGATCGAAGCAATTGCCCGTGATTCATGGGATGTCGACTCCGTGCTAGACCGAGTCCATATACTGCGATTGGTTCTCTCTGTCCTGCGGTCTAATGCTCAAGCTCCTAATGCCACTGTCCTGGAGTGTGAATGGAACCAAGCTTGGAATCAAGAGGATGTCTTATGCGCTGCTCACTCAGCACAGTTCAACTTGGTTAACGGTAAATCTCTACACGATATCAAGACCAACAAAGGATGCTCCTGGGATGTTATCGACCCAACTGCCCTCTCCAAAGTCTTAGCCTACCGATGTGGACTGCCGACCGGAGAGGTGGTGCTGCAACCGTGGATCCCATCGGCGAACGTCCACTTCATCAAGAAGGTTGTTCTTTCGGCCCATCGTAGCTGCCGTCATGGGTGTCTCCCT